CTGCAGGCCCGGCACAGGTTGTCGCCTGTCACGTGCCCCACACACGCACATGCCCAGTGCGTGAAGCCGTAGCTGGTGTGCGCCGAGCCCCAGGCGCCTCCTGTGCACCCCTCTAGCGGCAGCAGTGTTGCTCTGGGCGGCCTCAGTGGGTTCCAGACAGGATGTTCATGGCTCCAGAGCTGCTCTGGGGGCCTTAAAATTGCAAAGGAGCCCTGGCTGGTGTAGCACAGTGGATTGAGCGCGGGCCTGCGAACCAAACAACCACGGTTCATTTCCCAGTCAGGGCACATGCCTGGGTTGCAGGCCAGTTCCCAGCAGGGGACGCAGGAAAGGCAACCATACATTGATGTTTCTCTCCCTCTCTCCTTCCCTTCCCCTCTAAAGATAAATAAATAAAATCTTTAGGAAAAAAAAATTACAAAGGAATGTCAGGTCCACTGTCTACATTCCAGCACTCAGCACGAAGGCCGGTGAGTGCTCTCCCCTGCGCAAGGTGGAGCCCTTGGGCTCACCTGGGCTCACACCTGTATTTCCAGGGAGCACCCCGGCCTCTGGGAGGACACCCCGCAAAGGGCAGACTGATGGACTGTGCCAACACCCATGCCCGGGGCCCACACCCACTGCCAGGTCCTTCCCACCTTCTGGGCCTGCAGCTGGCCTGTCCGCCAGCCAGAGAGAGTGAGAACCCCAGGTAGAAGCCACTGCTGGACTCTGTCAAGGGAGTCCCCCAGCTCTGGGGGACTGGGCTTGCAGTGCCTTGGGGACTCTGCTGGGCCCTGAGCTGTGTTGGGGAAGGCAATGAAGGGCCCCCAGCAGGTGCCCCTTGCCTTTGGCTAATGATGTCCCCAGGAACCAGGACCCTGAGAGGTGCCTCGTCCCCCAGCCCACCCGCCCAGAGCCCAGCAGAGGGCTGGGTCCCGTGGGTCCCGTGGGTCCTGGTCCCAGTCAGGCAGGAGTGTCAGGGAGGGTCTGGACAGGAATTCGGCAGGTGAGCGCCGGTTCCAAAGCAGAGAAGTCGGTTCTGATGGTGAGAAACTGCTGGGGGGCGTGGCTGTGACCCCCCTGCCGCCCGGGTCTGGCTGGGTGACTGCAAACTGCTTTGTGTGCTGGGCTCAGCGGTGCCCCAACCAGCCAGTTTTCCAGGAGGAACTGTAGTGGCGGGACCACACCGCCTCTCACAGATCCTCATCCCAGCCCTGGCCAGACGGGAGCAACAGCAACGCCAGAGCCGCCAGCTGCACAACGGCCATCAGCTGTGGTGGATGTCACCAGCGTCAACAGCACAAGTCACTCGGGGTGGGGCCTCCATTCACCCAAAGGAGTTGTTTCGCCTTTACATCATTCTTTCGAGGCTGCAGCAAAAAATAAGAAATGAGACTTTCTTGCTTTTTACTCTAAAATACACGGTAATTAAACTCTCACAGGCCCACGAACAATACGCACACGTACAAGGCGTACAGGACCAGCCACCACGAGCAGCCCTCCACTGGCTCCGCACGGGCGCAGTCTCGGGAGCCACTGCGGTCAGCCTGAGGTGGGTGTGTGATGGGGGAAGACCCGCCGCAGTTGTGGATTTTTACAACTGCTCTGGAGTTGAACGGTGGTAAAAAAAAATCACTCCGCAGTTGGGTGTGGAGACTCCCTTTCAACCCCCGACGTTGGTTTGACCAACGGCCCCTCTGTGACCGTGCGTGGAAACGACGCAACCTTGCCCTTGGGAGACGTGCTTCCTTCCCTAGCGGCTGCCACCAGTTAAGGGTGGTGACTCTAATCACGGCCAGGGTGGACACCAGCCCCGTCTTGAATACGCTCTCTGTTCATCTTCTGTGAATGGGCTCAGTGTCCAGGGCCATTTGTTACTGACGTAATTCGGTCTGCGGTTACTCGTCCTTTGCACGCCGCGCTCCTCGGTGCTGTTCCTGTCGGTCTGATTGGAGACGCCGCTCAAGAGCGTATGTGTGTGTGTGGCCGCTGGTCGTCTTCTCCCCGCAGCTGCTGGGCTGCAAGTCCGTCCCTTTGTCCCCGAGAGCCCGTGACCACAGGCAGCGTGGTCTCTCTGGGGAGTGTGGTGGCGCTTTGCTGGCCCTGCCGTGGTGAGAAATGGCCGATGATGGCACGGCACTGCCTCCGGCTGGAACCAGCTCACACGCGGTCTGAGCCAGGCCGTGCCCCACCGGCTTGCGGGCCCTGCAGGTGGCTAGAATCGTGGCAGTGTGCAGCCCCCAACCCACTTTTAAACGTCAAGTGCAGGTGGGCCCTTTGAAGTCGTTTTGATTTAGTGAGACTAAACCACATCCACGTCTAAGTGATTTCAGGCCAGGAAAGGGGAACACACACCTTTCGACTGTCACCACCCAGGGGACCGCCCAGGGTGATGGTGCCGTTCCAGGGCCCTGCCCACCAGCCCCGGCCTCCATCGTCCTCAGAGCCCTGCTCACCACGAATCCCTCGGCCGCCTGGGCTCCTGGATGCGGAGCTCCAGGCACTGGCGGCACCTCTGGATCATGGCACCGCGCAGCGGGGTGAGCCTTCCGGGTCGGCGACGGCGAAACACTAAGACACACTGGTGCCTTAAGTGAACGAGTCCCAAACGACCCCTGTGCTGACACGAACTGCTGGCCCACGTCAGAGAGTTTGGCATTTGGCGTATCCCGGCCCCAGCCCTGGGTCCAGCTGCTCTCACCCACACAGAACCCCACCCACGTGTGCCTGAAGGACCCCAGGAAGCCGTGCGGGTTTCTGAAGAGCAGAAAGTCGAGTCCGGAGCTCCCGCTCCTGGGGCGGCTGCTTGCCCCGTGCTTGTCAGCTCTGTCTGCGGAAGTGCCAGGTGGGACTTGGCCCAGCCCCGGGACAGTTCCCAGATGTCGCAACTCGAGCTCACATGGTCAGATGACCCAGCCGTGCCCCTCCGCGGTCAGGGTGCGGGGCTTTTGTAGCTCAGAGGGGGGACGGTCCAGCTCTGCCTGCCACCTGCCACCTTGGTAGGCTCTGGCTGGAGTAATTTGCCGCTGACCGTGGCTGAACCAAAGCCGTCACATGGGCCCCAGTCTGCTGTAGGTGCTCTAGGAACAAACCTTTATTTTTTTTTAATTAAGATTTTATTTATTTTCAGAGAAAGGGAGGGATAAAGAGGGAGAGAAACATCAATGTGTGGCTGCCCCTCATACACCTCCAACCAGGGACCTAGCCTGCAACCCAGGCCTGTGCCCTGACTGGGAATTGAACTGGTGACCCTTTGGTTCTCAGGCCAGCACTCAGTCCACTGAGCCACACCAGCCAGAGCCAGCCCTTTATTTCTGCGGCTCTGTCCCTAAGATCGGCCCCTGGCTGAGCGGTCCTCAGTGGTCCCCACAGTCAGACTGCACTGGAACTCCCCCCCACAGCCGCCACTGACCGGCAGCGCTCTGCACTGAAGCCGGCCTCCCCTCAGAGGCCGTGGACGGAGGCGGGCGAAGTCTCTCAGCAAACCTGGTGTGACCCGTGTTTTTCCCGGCTTCTCCTTCCTGCCGTGAGCCCTCTTCCACTTTGGAAGTTGGTGTTAGTCCTTACACGTGCCCCGAGAGCCTCGTTGGGGCTTGTCTCTGGTGGGCCCGCCCCAACGGACTCGCGTGGGCCCCAGCCTGCAGGTCCCTCTTCAGGCCCAGGCAGCCGCTCACACCTCCTCTGGGCGTCTCACTGGCCCTTCCTGCCGCTGGGCTCAGCACCTCCTGTTCCTGGCCTCCTGCCCGTCTGTGAAACTGTCCCAGCTCCCGTGTGACCTGGAACTGCCCGGTTCTCTGCGGGCGCGGGACAGTGTCCCACCACGGCGTCCCTGGAGCCCCCCAGCACCTCCAGTGAGTCTGAAGGAAGTTCCTTCCAGCCCTTAAGTGCGCCCAGGTCTGCATGTCCCCGGAGTCTCAAACCTGCCCTTCCTGGGCATCTCGGCCCCCACGTGGGGCCCCGCTGTGCACATTCAGAGCCCTCCACCTGCCTGGGGCCTGGGAAGTGCGGGGTCCAGCCTGCCCTCCTGTGGCTGCCACGGCTCCGTCCCGCAGCCCTGCCGCCCTGTCTGTCTGGTTCTGCCTCACCACCTGTTGGGTGGATGGAGGTGGCGGCCACGGGAGAGCCCATTGTTCAGGGGGCGGGTCACAGACCTGCCTGAAGAGAGGGAACAGGAAGACGAAAACCAGACCCAGGAGATTTGCTTTTTACGCTGCGAGCTGGAGGCGATGAGAGAGAAGGAACGCTCAGCGATTCCGTCACACCCCATGGAGAGGGCTCCACGGACGGTCCCCGCCGGCGGCCTGGCCCACATGTGGGTGCCGCAGTCTGCAGCACCCGCCCCACCTCCACGGTACAGGCTGCTTCTCATGCCCAGCTCACCTCTGGTGCCCCAGAAACAGCTCAGCCTGCCCACAGCCCGCCAGGAAGCAGTGTTCTCCGGGCCTGGGCCACGCGGGGCCCTGGGAGCCCTTGAGACTCCCTGGTCAGCGCCCAGGGCACCAAGCACCGGGCCTGGGCTTGCTGCTCGTGGGCGCCTCTAGGGAAGCAAAATCGAGCTGCACCAAAGGCTTCCCCACAAGCTCGGTCCCGACGCACTCCCAAACGCCACAGCACAGGGTCGGGCGGTCCAGGGGCGCTCAGACCTCGGAAGGCACAGTGTGACAATCACAGCCACTCTTTAATGAAAGTCAGCGCTGGCGCACTGTGGGGATGCGGCCGGGGGCGTGCCCAGAGCACACGCAGAGCCCTCGGTGAAGCCCCATCGAAGTCATACACAACAGATGCTAATTTGTTTGGAATCATATAAAAAAAGTATAAAATATTTCCCACCCCAAATTCTTAGGCTATGAAAGTGAAGTGGAACCTCGAATGAGGGTTTTACAAACGTGTCGGGGCTGTGCAGCTTGGCTGTTTCTGGACTCGGGGCTGGGGGTGGGCTGGCGGCTCTGCCATCGCCGTGGGTGCTGCTGGTGTGCGGGCTGACGCCCCCGGTGTCCGGTGTTGGGACCGTGGGCTGCTCAGCACCCCCCGCCTCTCCTCTCTGTGGCAGGCGGGCGCAGCTGCTCCAGGGCAGGCTGGACCTCCTTCTGCGGATCTGTCTGGGGAGAAACGGCGGCGCTCAGTGCCAGCCAGTGCGGCGGTGGCGGCAGCAGCGGCCGCGGCTGTGCTCGGGGGAGCCTGTGAGGCACTACCTTGTGGTTTGCGCCCCCACACTTCAGGGGCCTCAGCCCTGGGACCGTCCCATTCCCTCTGTGTCCAAACACTGAGGGCAGCACCAGGCTGGAGGACGACAGGCCGGTCACCCCCGAGAGTTTCAGTCTGGGCAGCTCCGTCAGGCTGGCCGGTCCCGGCCTCCTGGGCTGGTCCTCCTCCTGCTTCAGGGGCTGCAGCTGAAACGGGACTCGGGTCAGTGAAGCACGCGTGGTATCTCCCCTGTGGAAATCGGGGGAGACAAGAGGCCCTTTGGCGCCACTTCTGCCTAATGCGACTTCCTGGTCACGAGGCGCAACCAGACAACACGGGCGCCCTGGCCACCCGAGGCGAGGCAGCCGCCCACTGCGGCCACAGCGGAGGCGGGGGCTCCGCGCTGCACGCTCCTGCCCAGTGCCCGGGTCGGCCAGACCTGCTGCCGCCTGCTTCTGCGCAGCTGGTGAACTAGGAGTGGCCTTTACCTTTTCACACGAGTGTTTGTTTCCTTGTGCACACTGGCCTCGGACACGCGTGACCGTGCAGACGCGCGTGGGCCAGCCTCGGACTGCAGGCAAGGCCCTGGTGGGGACCGGCAAGGTGACACGGTCAGACAGACACACATCTGAGCAGCCAGGAGGGGCGGCTGAGCAGGGACAGCAGTTGGGGGGCAAACGAGGGAGGCTCAGGCCAAGGAACAGCGACTGCACTTTGGGGCCTGAGCAGCTGAAGGGGAAGGAGCAGCGGGTCGCCCCGCTGGCGCCCCGGGGAAGGCATGGAGAGGAAAGCAGTGTGGACGGCAGGCTGGGGGATCCACCCTGGGGAGCCGGCCGCAGCGGGAGGGGCCAGGGCCCCAGCCTGCAGTGACACTCGGCATGCGGGGAAGTGAAAGCTGGGGTGGCACCATCACCACAGACTTGGGTGCCAGCCCTGAGCCATAAACCCTGGGGACCCAGCCCTCGGTGCATGAAACAGGGGTGATGGCGCTGCAGCTGCTCCTGAGCCTGTGTCAGCAGGGTGGCGCGCTCCGCCGTGCTGCCCGCTAACGGGCTCAGGCCGAGGGGGGCAGCACGCACTGTAAGGGGGGCAGGGGCCAGTGGCCGGCTGGGTCGCCTGGGCCGGAGCTGAGCTTCTCTGTGCCCTGCTCGAGGGTCCGTCTGAGGACACGGGAGCAGCACCTGGGGGCGCTCTGGCGCAGAGCCTGGCCCTGAGCTGGAAGAGCCTCACCACCGCTGTCCCTGCCCGCTCACACAGACGTCGCCCTTGTCCCTGAGCCCTCGGGGCAGAAAGGGCCCTGGAGCCGTGTCTGGCCTGGTGTGGGCCCTACTCGGAGACACAGGCCTCCTGAGGGCAGCTGGTCCCCCACAGCGGCCCGCCAGCTTGCCGGGTCCCTCTGTACCTGCTTTCTGCTCTCCTTGGAGATCTGCCACTTGCTGCCGAGCGGGTCCATGGCCACAGGGCACTCGGGGAAGACGGCTCTCCTGTGGCTGCCCAGAGCCTGCTTCTCCATGGCCCTGCGGGGAGGGAAGAGAGAGCAGCCACCACTGAGAGCCGCCCGCATGGCGCTGGCCTTTGTGTCTCCACACGTGTCTGCCCTGCGCATGGTCACTACCTCCGCTCTTCCCGAGGACCTTTCCCCCTCGCTGTCTCGGCCCCACAGTCTCTGGGCTGGGAGCAGAGGGGACTCTGTGAGCCCTGGGTGTGGTCCTGCCACAGGGCCGCCCGGCCCAGGGCTGGAGGTCGGGTCAGACTTCAGCCCCACGATCACAAGCAGGAGAGGCCAGAGGTGTGGCGTCAGACACCGCAGGCATGCACTTCCCCCACGGGGTACACACGACACCCACGCAGATCTCAGGGCCAGCTCACCTGTTCCCCTGGGGGCATGCGGGCCCGCCAGCCTCCCATCTTAACAGGGTAGCGCTCGGGATATTTCGGGAAAGGGCGGGTCAGAGAGCTGTTCAGGGCCCCTCTGGCCCGCCCCCACAGTCCCCTGAGCACCCACCTCTGCTCTCGGAAGTAGGGGTGCTGCAGGGCCTGGTAGGCCGTGATTCTCTCGTCGGGGTCATAGGCCACCATGGCGCGCAGCAGGCAGAGGCCTTGCGGGGACAGACTGGCCGTCGGGAGAGGTATCCCTGACCCCTTTTTAAAAGGAAAATCAAAACTCATAGCTCTTGACCTGCATTGGGGGCCCAACAAGAAGCGGTTGCGCCGTTACTGAGAGCAGTGGCCCATCCTCACGACGCTACAGGGCCCTGCACTGGGGGACCGTCCGCGACCCGAGGAGCCCGGCCACGCAGCGCCCAAACCACAGCATGTGCCACACAGGCGTGGCCCCGTGGGGACCATGGGCTTGGGGCCCAGTGCCAGGGCCTCACACTGGCAGGTGCGCCCGACCCTGCTCTAACGCGTACGGGCTTGTGTTTTTAAGAGCCACTGGGGTCCCTACCCCTGGCCCCCTGGCTGCCCCACGGGACCCTTGGGGGCACAGGACACTTACTGCTTGAACTTGGTGAGGGTCTTGGCGGGAGGGGTGCCCATGACGTCATGGATCCTGGAGATCTGGTCCAGCTCGTTGGCCCCGGGGAAGAGGGGCTGCAGGCTGGGGGGATGTGACAGGGATGTGGTTACGGCGGTCCCCGCCATCTGGTCATCCTTAACCCCACAGCCCTGTGACGCCTGTCCAAAACAATTCAGTCCTGGAGCATGAGAGAGGGTGGCTCTCGCAACTTTTGGCTTCGGTGGAATTGCGAGTCTGTTCTCCAAAAATGAGTCAGTTGCTGATCTGAGTGATCCTGGGTCAAAGGTGTGCACACTGGTGTCTGGACTGGTCAAGCATCAGAGGGGGAGGTGGGAGGAGGCCTGGGCCCCGCCCCCGCTGCGCGATCCTGCGCTGGTGTGCATCCCCCCCCAGACGCCCCTAACTGGCCACTGTGAGCCATTAAGGGCCCGGCTTGGGCAGCTTCAAGCTGCCACTGGGCCCGTCGCCTCCCTTTCCACGTCATGTCCTGCCCTGGGGTGAAGCCCAAAGGCCAGGGTGTGGGGCTGGGAGGGCCGTGAGGCCCGGGGCCACCGCTCACACCCCCACGGCAGGACCCACAGGTGGCGGTAACAAGTTCCTGCTCAGTTCCTAACTTGGCAGCCGGCAGCTGGTCATTTCACCAATGAGGCCGAGCCAGAGGCCCAGGGCTGGGGGTGCCGGGTGTTGGGGGGAGAAGGCACTGACGGTGGTCTGTTCTCCGGTGGTCTGTTCTCCGCTACCAGCAAGCAGGAAGTGTGCTGACGGGAAGTGTCACGAAAAGCAGGCACAGCCGCAGGACGACTGGGACACCGCGCGGTCCAGGGGCCCCGCCGAGGCCTCGCTGGGGCCGTACCTGGCGATCTCGTACAGGACGCAGCCGGCGCTCCACAGGTCCATCTTGTAGCTGTAGCAGCCGTCGGTGAGCAGGCACTCCGGGGCCCGGTACCAGCGGGTGGAGATGTACTCCGTGTGCGGCGGCCTGGTGTAGACGCTCCGGCAGGACCCGAAGTCGCCGAGCTTCAGGACGCCCTGCTGCGAGGGGGGAGGGGGCCGGGGCAGTGCCGCTGTCGGAGGCCCTTGCACTGTGAGCACCCCAAGCAGTCACGCCCTGGGGGGGTGGTCACTGGCACCTGCCCGGCTTGTAAAACACCAATTCCCGGCTTTCTACGTACCAGCGTCTGGAGCCACCCCCCAACACACACAGGTAAGGAAGGAGGCGGAGCTTCCACGCAGCAGAACGCGCCCAAGGAGACTGGCTGCGCTTTCCCAGGCCTTCCACGCGGCACAAGTCCCGGAAACGGTGAGTCGCAGCGCCCCGAGGTCAGGGGTCGCGTCTCCTGCCCCGGGGCGGCTCGGGCTGGCTCGCACCTGCGGGCTCTTCCGAGCGGGTCAGGCAGACCAGGGAAGCGGTTTCGGGATATTCCTGCCGTTTCCCTTGCCCTTCACGTTCAGGTAATAAAACCCAGGCCGTCGATGACTTTGGAGCCCCGGCACTCACGGCCGCAGCAAACATTTAGCTCGCGGCGCAGCTCTGAGCTGGGCCCACGGTCCGGGAAGGTCCGTGGGCCTCGCCTCCGCGCCCACTCCCCAGTGCGCCGCGCCGGGCTCGAGACAAAGGGCGCGGCGTGTTCGGAGGCAAGAGCAGCTCGGTCTGAAGAGAGAAGCGGGCACCGGGGCTGGGCCGGGAGCCACGGGCGGGGCGCTTCTAAGGTAACGAGGCTCCTCTGGCGGGGGCTCCGGCGGGAAGAGTTGGAAGGAGACGCTGGAAGTTTATTTTTTTCCAGTTGGCAAAAATAAAATGTGACTTTGCTGGGCTGCTCGACAGACCGCACCCAGCCGAGGGAGGGGCCAGGAAAACAGGCCGAGGAACACAGAGAAGAACCGGCTGCTCGGCCACAGGGCCGAGTCCCAGAACAGTGACACTGAGGGGCAGAAGCCGGAGCAGAGAAAACTACGTGCTACCTACTTCCATCTATAGAGCATTCTAGAAAGTGAAAACCAATCTATGAAAACAGAAAGCCAGGCACTCTGCCTGGGATGAGGGCTGGGGCAGGGGGCACCTGTGGGCTGTCCCCTCACCACGGTGACGGTTGCCATGACGGCTTCACGAGTGGACACGCATGCCAAAGTCGCCCCCTCGCTCACTTAAGTGTGCCGGGTCCATGTGGCTTTGGGGGCGCAGACTGGAACTCGGGCCCCAATTCTCCCACTTTCAGGGTCCGAGTGTTTAGGATGATCATTTGAATGGAGCTCGATTCTGTCTATAGTCTGAGATGGGTGCCCGAGATTATTTCTTCCACATGTATGGCTATTGATGACATTTATTAAATGAGCCATTTTTCCCAACTGGGAGGGAAAAAAGACTGGAGCAGACCCCACACCCAGGTATCTGGGGTTGAAAGCGCACCCACTGGAAACTACATTCCACCTTTATCCCGATACCCATTTTTCACATAAAAGCCCTTACCTTTACTAATATGTTTTCTGGCTTTACATCTCTGTGAAATATTCCGTTTCTGCATTCAATAGAAAAGGAAGGACAGAATTAATCAGGCCTGGTGCGCTCCCGTCGCCTCACATTGCAGGTCCCGCGACGTCGGCGCGCGCCGCTGGGGGGCGCACCTGTGCACGTGGTCCAGGGCGCGGCACAGCTGGTATGCGTAGCTCGCGACCTTGCGCTCCGACAGCGGGCGTCTTCTCCCTGTGCGGCAAGGAAACGCCCGGCGCCGTTACCGGCGGGATTCGGGCCCTTTTTGGAAATAAAAAGCAGAATCCGTTCTTACTTAATAGAGTGTAAAAACCTAGCTTCCTCCTGTCTACATGTAGAGGTCCATTTAGGGGGGAAAGACCGCTGCCGTCTGGCAGCAGTGCCTTATTTCGGTCCCAGAAGACCGATGGCTTCTCTGCCGTCCCGGCCCGGCTCTGACCAGGGGCTGCCTACTGGCCCACGGGGCTGACGCAGGCGAGCAGCACCCGAGTTTGCTGGGCGTCCCCGTCGCCTGCTCCCCACGCCACCCGCCCCGCCCTGCAGGCCTGTAGGACATGCTGAACCCTGACCGCACTCCAGCGTCCCCCTTATCCTGCATCCAGGACATCTCGCTGCTCACTAGGCTTTAATGGCACAGGCGTGTGCTTTAAGCTATTACTTTTTAAATCTGTAAAATAACCATTCTTACCTACCAACTCCAAAAGCCAGGAGCACATCCCATCGGCACTATTGGCCCTGCGTTTCCCCTTCTACCCCCTGCGGAGGAGCCTGCTCCCTCCTCCTGGCGCCACCCTCTGCGGCCCCGGGTGAGGGCCCCGAGCCGTCCCCACCCCAGAACCCCCTCCTGGTGGAGCCAAGCTGCTGGGGAAACGGGCGCCCTGTCTGCTTCAGCACCCTGACCACGTTCAGTGTTACCAAACCCTCTCAGTGAGAAGAATCTAAGGGCTGCCACAGGCAACACTAGTAATGTGGCAAATTTTAAGTGAACGCGATAATAACCTATGGCTTCTGCTGTCTGTCCCCACTGAGGGACTGTGGCTGCCAGCATGGCCTGCCATGTGACAGAGTTATCGCACACAAACCCTCCCACCAGAGACCACGGTCTCCAGGCCTGCGCATGGCACCGCTCACACGCCACCCCCTCCGTCTCTCCAATGGACGCTGTTCTGAGAGAGGCTCATGGCCCCAACCGGCAGGTGGGAGGCGGCGAGTCAGGCCCGGTGTGGAGCCTCACCCGGGACGGCGCCCCGTCTCGTCGGTCATGGCCACCCTTGAGGACGGCGCTCCCGCTCTGCTTCCCACGGAGAGACCTGCTACTGTGGAGCCCACGTGCACACGTTACGACCAGCACACTGTCCCGCGCTGTGGGACACCCGGGCTGCGCCCCCACAGCCAAGCCTGACGGCGCCTCCTGGCAGCACCTGCGCAAACACTGCCGGGTCCATGCCACCGACTTGGAAGAGAATCCAGGGACAAAAAGGTGACATCGCTTACACCCTCAATGGCAGAGACGGATGTGAAAGAAAAGCAAAGATATCAGTCACTTCGCACCAGCGTGTCCCCGGAAGTGCGAGGAACACTGTCACAGACGTGTTCCACTTCGACCTTCCCTCCTGTACGTGCGCAGACGGGACATGGGCGCTGCCTGAGTAGGACCCAGAGAGCTTGCTGAGAAGGACAAACTCCAGTCGCCAGGTGACGAGACCGCGATGTGCCAGAGCTCAGTCGGCAATGCGTTCTTCTCTTTGTCGGTTGCCTTGAGCCAGTGGGTGGGATGCAAAGAAGTGGACAGAGATCGCCAAGTTCGTCTGATGCAGCAACGTCTGGCCGGGCGGTCGGCACACCACGTGGTAGCCTGGCACACAGCCCGAGCCACCCGCGGCAGTGAACTGAAATGCCGCAGTGACAGCCACACCGAGCTGGTTTTACTTTCTCCTACTTGGTTTGTCCCGCAGTATCATGGATTTACCTCAGGAGGCCTGACCCACCCACCCACGGCCTCTGAAAACTATGACCCTAGGGGACAAGGCCAGCCTGTGGGACCTGGAGCAGCTTCTGACCCCAGAGGTGGCCAATGACTGGGACATTTGGGCCAGCCTGCCTGCGGCCCGTGGAGGGTCTCAGGGTCTGGGGCGGGGCAGGGGGCACATCTGCCGAGAGAGGAGGAGGAGGCAGGCAGAGATGCTGAGGCGGGTTGTGTGGCCTTCGGGTGGCCAGTGGTGGCCTTGGTGACCCGAGCTTTCCTGGCCCCGCTTCCAGGAGGCCTGGCTGAGTTTTCCGCAGGAGACCCTCAGTGTCACCAGGAACACCTTCCTCTGCAGCAAGCCGGCGGAATGGCCTGACTCCTGGTGGCAAAGACCGTCTAACCATGACGCTCAATGTCCAGAAACACCCAGGTTTGGCGAGGGGCTGTGCTGGGCACCGGGAGGGCACGAGGGGCAGAGCTGCCGGGCCCCACTGCCGGAGGGCTAGTGCTCCGGCGCCCGCGGAGCCACAACAGGAAGGAAGCGGGTCTCTGGCAGGTGGGTGCGCGAGACAAAGTGACAAGCTGGGTGGTCAAAATCGACCAGTTCAAAAACTGTTGTGAGCCCCGGCTGGCGTGGCTCAGTGGACTGAGTGCCGGCCTGTGAACCAAAGGGTCACCAGTTCGATTCCCAGTCAGGGCACAGGCCTGGGTTGCAGGTCAGGTCCCTGTTTGGGGGCACTCGAGAGGTACCACACACGGATGTTTCTATACCTTTCTCCCTCCCTTCTGTCTCTGAAAATAAATAAACAAACAAAAGTTCTTAGATTAGCTTTCAAATGAGTCTACGTACCTCGTATCAGCTCATAAATATTCATGTCCATGAGTTCACATATCAGCCCAAGAGAACCAGATTTTCTGTCACTGAAGAAGAGAGCAGGATTTTAAGTGATTTTTCGTGTCTTAATCAGAAGATATAATCAAATATTTAATTCATCTGTGAACATTTCTGGTAAAAACTCCCAACCAGACAAAGTCTAGGGGATAATGATTGAAAGAGGAGAAGTTTCTACTTTAAATAGATATTCCAGGTAAAATTAATTTAAAATCATAGTAAAACTCTACTTGAAGCAAACACTCTAACCCCTTCCCACCCGCCGTTTTTCGAAGCCGCGGGTCTCGACCCCGTAAACTGAACTCTGGGCAGAGAGAAGACCTGAGGGTGGGGGTGTGGCCCAGCAGAACCACCCGGGGGAGGGTTTCATCGCCCTGTGACCCCAACCTGGGTTTTCCTTTACAGAACTGCGTCCCTGTGATTGGGGCACACCACGGCGCGGGGACAGAACCCAGGAGCCAGTCGGGAAAAGGGGGAAAGATGAGAGACACTACCCTTGTGGGTGACAGAGAGGGGACCGTGGCCTCTGGCGGAGCCGCCAGCTTCTCCTGAGTTCAAACAGCACCGAAAGGGCCCCCCGCCCCCCGCTGGGCAGCCTGTGGGCCCCAACTGGCTCTAGGTGGCTCCGGTGGGGCTGGGAGGAGGCTCACATGCAACTCCGGACTGAAGCGCTTTCTTTTTAAAAAAGATTTTATTTGTTTAATTTTAGAGAGGGTAAGGGAAGGCGAGAGGGAGAGAAACATCAGTGTGTGGTTGCCTCTCGCACGCCTCCTACTGAGGACCTGGCCCACAACTCAGGCATGTGCCCTGACTGGGAATCGAACCAGCAACCCTTTGGTTTGCAGGCCCGGGCTCAGTCCACTGAGCCACCCCAGCCAGGGCAGAAGCACTTTCTGAAGGGCACGTGAAGGGCACGTGAAGAGCCGCTGGCGCAGGCAGGGCCGAGCCTGTGACCCGCAGATGGCCGTCTCCAGACCCGGCCCAGACTGACCGCTCCCCACGGCATGGGCCAGGAGGCCACACAGCCGCGACCAGGGAGTTTACGCCTCTGGGAACACTTGCCTCGTGGCGGCCGTCAGAGGCTGCGGCTTCTTGGTGGGTCGTACAGGCCAGGCCACCTTCTCGGGATCCGGGCTGCGCTGGCCCCGGGGCGGGCGGGGCCCGGAAGCCCCACAGAAGCCCAGCCCCCGTCCCGGTCCCGGTCCCGGGTGCAGGGCCCCGTCGCCAAGGCCTTCAGACCAGCTGGGCTTGGCTCTCCCGGCTGGTAGGTGAGCCTTATGGAAGCTGCCCACAGTTAGACCAGGAATGGCAAACCCCCCGAAACCGTACCCGTTGGAGGGAGAGCAGCCGCAGGCAACTACGGAGGGAGGGTGGCGAGGGACCGGAGAGCCCTCCCGGGGTGGCGGCTCGCACGGAGTGGGGAGGGGTGAGGGGGGCCTTCGTGCCAGAGCCGCCACCAGCCCCGCAGCAGCCTCACTGAGCCGCAGGCCAGGAGCTGGGGCTCCGTGCGCCTGAGCGTCACCTAGAAGAAGGCCCTGCTGCCTTAGGGGTCGGGCACACAGCCGAGCGGTACACAGGCGACTTAAGATGAAAACTAAAACTCCCTGAGCAGCAAAGCAAATGTCTAAAAGGCCCTCCACAATTTTATTTCTTTCTTAAAAAGAGGTCCAGTCACGGCCATCAAACCCAGACACCATCGCCAGGCCCGACGTACTTACAAGAGCAGCTCGTGCAGCGTGAGGATGTGCGGGTGCGGGTTCAGGCGCCGCAGGGCTTGGACCTCCCGGAGGCTGCTGGCCTGCTCCACGCTGCTGTGCGGGCAGAGACAGGGCCCGACTCGTCACTCGGGTCGGCTGCAGAGTCCGGGCCGTTCCAGCCGCAGCTGAAAGACTCACAAGTGCTTCCAGCAGGTTAAGTTGTGTTTCTCCCACTGGCAGCTAAAACTAAGCTTGTCACATTTCTGCAGTATCATACAGAAGGCAAGGTTCTCAGAGCTTCGGCGCATGTTCCCGCCGTCCCCACCTAGGCCCCTGGAAGGACACCCTGGTAGTTTCTGCTACTAGTAGTAAATAGAGACACAGGTGATAAAATTTCCTGTTCGTCAGCTTATGGGAACTAACCAACTGAGCTATGTAAGTGTCACGTGAGAATGAGCATTTCCAGTTTCACGAACGGACCCACCCTTCTCATCGTTTCTGAGGGCTGCACAGGTTTTCAGCTTCCTTCACCTGGCGACAGGTGTTCTCTCAGCACCTGGGTGACACCCGGCCACGCGACCCGCTCCGCCACAGCCTCCCATCCCAGAGTTCTGCGAGGGAGCGTCGTGGTCGTGCCCTTTCTGGGGGCGGGTAGGAGGCCCCCACTGCCTCTGGTGCTCAGCGTGAAGCTCAGCGTCTCCCCACCTGTCCCAGAGCCTATTACCACGGAAAGCCGCGTGGCTGCGTGTCTCGGCGTCTCTCCTGCCAGCCAGCGGGTGGGGGCCCCGAGCCATCGGAGAGCGAGGCCACCTCAGACTAAAATGTCCTGGTGTCTCGGGGCCGCGCTGGCCGAAGGAGAGTTGTCTCGGGCCGCACATTAAATACACTGCGACCCGTAATCGCAACAAATTATAATGTTTTAAGTAAATGTGTGATGTTCTGCTGGGCCACACTCGCAGCGCCCTCGGAGGCCCGCGGCCCCGGGCCGTGGTGGGGCGCCCCTGCTTCAGACCCTTCTTCCACCACCCGCACTCCCCTCACACTCAGAACCATATTCGAAACATTGGACACTCGTGTGCACGACCACAAGGAGCCAGAAAGGACGAGACCCACAGCTGAGGGACAGGCTCCAGAAGCAGGGCCTCTAGTGGCTGGAGAGGAGGCAGGGGGAGCTGGGGGTGCTGGGCGAGGAGCCAGGCACGGGGCAGGGGGGGTCGCACCCCAAAGGCTGGGGCGGCAGCTGCTGATCCCCCAGAATGGGCGGCTTTCCCTCTGCTGAGCCCCGGAGCTGGTGGGAGTCTTCCAGACGGGACCATGGGGACAGCCACACCACCGCGTCCCCTTCCGGACACTCGCTCGCTCACACTGGGCTGCGTTCCCATGTGTGAGTGACCTCTCCACAGAGCTTCACAACAACCCTGTGAAAACCCAAATTATTTGGCATAGCTCCACTGGAGTCTTTTTTCATAATCTCAGATGTTCTCCTCTGTTTAGAAACCTTGTTTTGATCAAGTCACACAGCCTGTCTCCAGTTATTAAAAAAAATTCTGCCTAAAATAGAGTCGTGTTTCTAAAATAACTACTAACGACGATGCCAGCTGGTAGCCGGGGGCTGGGTGCCGCCACCAACGTCAGCCACTGTTGCTTGGCGCACACCTCGGCTGTCACTGGCGTCCTCGGCCGCCCCTCCCGGGGCCAGGGGTCCTTTAGTCTCAGTGTTTCCTATATTTAATCCACCTGTCCCCGTCGCCGCTCGGCTTTGACTGGCGTTCGAAGGTGTCGAACTTGCCCTCGGCCCTTGGCCCTCGGCGGTGACCCCTGTGCCTGACCCTTTCACAGTGACTGTGGCCCCTCGGGGCACAACGGTAGCGGGTCTTTCCGGTCCTGAGGACGTGGTTTGCGTGTAAATCTCTCATCCGTGGACATTAAACTTGTGGGTGAAATGTTAGTGAATTTAAGCTCCCCCGTCCTCACTGGGGGACCAGCGACAGAACGAATGCTCTCACACGTGCGTCCGGCTCTCCCTGCACCAGTTCCCGCAGCGGAAGGCAGTCCCCGCTCGGTGCTGAGGGGTCCGCGGCTGTGCGAGTTTCCGGAGCAATCTCTATGTCTGTGCAATGCATCAGCTCCAGCAGGCTCGGGTCCCCGGGGTTTGGGTACTTCTGCTTCACCGCGCCCTGTCTGAGCCTCCGGCACCAGCGCCATGGAGGCTCGGCACTGCTGTCGTGTCGTTTCTGGGGCTGCAACCCTCACGGAGGGGGACCCTCCCACAGAGACCACCTCCCAGGTGATTCCCCGGAGGACGATTTCAAACATGTAAGAAAGAAATCCTCCTGCACATTTCACAAAAGGAGAGGTACAGACCGGCAGGGCGCAGGTCCCACACTCAGCCCCAGGGCCGGCCAGCCGGTGACGCCAGGCAGGTTAGCGACCTTCTCTCTAGCCCAATGTGCCTGGTCTGAAAGGAGGCGGCAGGGCTCTGCCTCCAAGGGCCACACGCAGGCGGGTGATATGAGGACAGGTGACTCTCAGGCGAGACTTGCCCAGGGCCGGCTTCGTGGGCAGCAGGGCTCGGAGCGACGGCTGCAGTCGGCCAGCAGGGCCGCCCGTCACCACCTCAAATGTCTCACACCGCCCAAACACCGCGAGGGCCATCCAGACACGAAACGGAGAGCAGAGATGGGTTTCTGACGTGACTGAGATTAAACGGTTTGATAGTGGCGCCAGGTACTCCAGAACTCTGCAGGCTAGACAGAGTGCCTTCCTGGTTAGGGACCAAACCCAACAACAGCGTTAACTCTGTGGATCAAGGTCAGTGACACCAGAGCATCCAAAGGTCATTAGCAACCTCGTCCCTAGAAATGACGCCAAAACAGCTCTCTTTCTAGAGGAAACTATGAGTCATTTCTTCCTAGAATTCAGAGATAACAGCAATGCCTTCACCAATGGAAACATCTCTCGAGCAACACGAGTCATTCCAGACCTCCTGTGGCTGGTGGGTTGGTTTCATTGGACTGTTGTGCTTTTCCGATTGAAACTATTTCAGACAAACAGCTGAGTTGCAAGGACGGTGCGGAAAGTTCCCGTCCCCCCCCCCCATGTTCACACCTCACACGGCATGGCCCTACCCATTCAACCAGATGCCCCATTGAATTCCCCACTCTTCCCACTGATGTCTTCTCTTCCAGGGTCAGGACACCACGCTGCACTCGGGGCTCCTTAGGCACCTCCACTCCGGGACAGTCCTGCAGGGCCCTTGGGTCGAGTCCTGGACACGTGTGAGATGCCCCGGGCAGGCCTTCTGTAGGTGCTTGGCCACCTGGCCGGTCTGATGTGTCCTCACAATTAAACCGAGACTGTGGGTCTCTGGGAAGCATGTCAGAGAGCGCAGCGCACGGCCTGTCTCCTTCCTGATGGCGTTCACGTCCATTGGCTGGTTAAGTGGCAGCGTCCAGGCTTCTCACTGTACAGTCGCTGTCTTTCCCTTTTCGTTTTCTATTCTGTAGACACAAGCCCCTAAGTCCAGCCCACATTCAAAGGGAAGGAACTTGGGCCCTGCCTCCTAGAAGGAGGGATATCAAATAACTTGAGGACAAAAGTAATTACAAACAGGGAAGGGAGGGGCGGCATCCTGGGAGGCTGTTTGGAAGTCCCGTCCTCCCCCAGGCTCCCTCCCATCTGCTCAGTCTGTCTGGCCTGCAGAGGTCACTGCCGGCCTCTCAGACAGCTCGCTCTCTCTCTCTCCCTCGCTCCTGCTGTGTTTGTTAACAGGGTTCTCCTGTAAGGAAGACCTGCCCCACCCCCGGTGTATTTACCCACTCGGGCATTTACCCAGGTCAGTGTGTGCTCCTGGTTCTCTGCCTGGGGGATGGATGGATGGATGGGTGCAGAAGTGGAGAGAGGCGGAGGGTGTGCGCGGGTCACCACACACGCGCACGCGCACTGGCTGCGGCCGCAGAGCATGCCCGCCAGCGGCGGAGAGCGCGCTGGGTGCCGGAATCTTGTCTCCGATGTCTTTCTCCAGCGAAAGGAGCCAGGGTCCTTAGAGAAGCCGAGGGTCCAAGGGCCTGTGGTGCACTTTTCCACGGGAGGTTGCTCTGCAACACGGGGCCGTCAGTACACTGGGCCTCGCCTCCTGCACTGTGAGTGGTTTAAAGGTAGAGACGGAGTTGGGGGGGGGGGGGAGATACGGAGAAGGCAGCGCCAGGAAGTTGGGCCGGAGCAGAGGACGGTGCGAGACCAGTGGCTGCGGTGTTAGCAGAGCCCGTCAGCGGCCACACGCTCTGGGCGGAGATGTCTGGACGCAGACCTGGCTCTGCCCCCTGGTGACCCAGAGGGACCACTATCGCGTGAGGTCACGTCTCTAAGAGCCTATCCTCCTGCACAGACCAGCACTGACCGCCTCAATCCTGTGGGGGCGTCACAAGGACGAAAGTACTGTGCTCCCCCTTCTCTGACACCAGTGACTGTCCTACCTGCCCTTCTGATCTGAGGAGCCATTTTCCACCTGAGCCCGAAGTCAGGGTCTGTCCCCCAAACCCTCCAGAAGGCTCTGCATCGATGTGGGAGAGTGACTTCCTGAGAAAACGTGCTTAGGTGTGCGGAGACTTCAACCCCCTTCACTGGACCGTCCAACAGCTGCAGTGAGGCCAGCCTCCCCGCCTCTTGGTCTGGTGCCCTGCAGGCTCAGCGGCAAACCCGAGGACCGAGGAGGTGACAAGGCCACCGCCATCCTCCAGGAGACTAATCCAGACCAGAGAGCTCGGTCCCCACAGAGGCCACCCCGGCAGTCCGCTTCCCCAGTGCCGATGGGAAATCTCGGTACACGGAGTCACAAGTCCTTAACTCACACGGCGTCTGGTGCACTTAGACTGAGGTTTCATTACAAAAGTCTAACACACACGACTTTGCGGAAATAGAGACTGTTTAGAGTGAGGCACACGTCTGCAGTTTAAATTTTTGGTGACCATCTATCACTGACAGTACAGTAAACTGGGACATACGTGAAACCCAGCACGGGAAACCCGAGGCCAGCCCGTAACCCTCACTGCCCACGGAAGTCTGTGCCTCGCGTGTTGCTGCATGAATACAGTCTTCCCACGGACAGACGCTGCCCCGGCCCAAACCCGGAGCTGTGCCGGTGCTCGAGGGGCTCGGCACCTACCTTTCAAAGGGCCGCTTCATCTGTTTGCATGCGTAGTAGCATCCGTCTCTCAGGCTCTGCATCTTCACAACTTCCGAAAACGTCCCCTCACCTATTTTGCCAATTACTCTGTAGTCTGTGAGTAAAACAATCACAAAAACCAGCTGTCATTTACACGTCTGCTTTGCACTCACTCCCAGACAGCGAGCCTTTTCTCTGTGACCGGCTGGCAGCTTGTGTGAAAGCTGCTTCTCCTTCCCCCGAGGTTCAGGGCTCCCCTCACTTGCTGCGCAGGCAGGAGCACCCAGGCCTCTCTGTGCTCCCCGCCCCCACCCCAGAGCAGGAGACTGGTGGCCCACACTGTCGGGATGCCAGGCTCAGAGCCCACAAGATCTGGTGGTGAGAGGAGCAGGGGCGCTGGCGGGGGCGGCTCTGGGGGACATGGGCGTAGGCGCATGGCAGAGGGGGTGCTGCCCAGCGGCCGTGGGGTCACCCTCTCTGGTCCCGTGGAGGCCAGGGCAGCTTCCTGCCACTCCTGCAATTCCTGGTGTCCTGAAGCTGACAGCAGCAGCCTCTGGCCTTGCCGCCACCACCGTCATCACCTGCAGAGGTGACAGTTTCATAAGCCTCTAATTCACCATGGGCGGCCCCTTCCTGCTTGAAATGCCCAGTGGCAGCCCCCCCTTTCGGATACAGCACATCTTTCATACCTCGTGTGAACTCTGATTTGTTCACAGCAGCAGGAAAAAGGTTAATATATTTTTAGAAGTAAGAGACTTAGAAGTGATGAGTAATTTTTTCAAGTTCCTATTTCAGTCAGTTTCCTACTTGGTTTTTATTGATAAGAGGCTCCAAATATAGGCCTGGCTGGTGTGGCTCAGTGAATTGAGTGCCAGCCTATGAACCTAAGGGTCACCAGCTCGATTCCCAGTCAGGGAATGTGCTGGGGTTGCAGGCCAGGTCCCCAGTAGAGGGGGTGAGAGGCAGCCACACATTGGTGTTTTTTCTCTCTCTCGTTCTCCCTTCGCCATGGACACACACCAGTGTGGGGATTGCTGCGGGGAGAGGGGCATAAGGGGACTAAATGGAAATGGAAAAAATTCAATAAAAAACCAGAAACTTAGATAAGAAGCAAGAAGACACCACGGCTTCGAAGGGTACAGAGCTGTGCCAGCAAAGACATCCCGCCTCACAGTAACAGGGGGAGAAATAATAAGCAGTCACCAGAAAACAAAACAAACGCCCCACCCAGACTCGACCACAAACAGGGCTTGCTATACCTGAATGAAAAAGGTGGAAGAAAGGAAGATAAATGAGGCCATTTGTGTTCATTAAGAGTCTATTCACTTTTATTAGGCCAAGGCTTGTTTGTTTAAGTGGAATCTAAGCCTTATTTAACCGTGGAAGTGGAGGTCAAATTCACTTTTTGTGAAAAGAGAACCTTGTCATGGCCGAGTGCAAACATTTGTATTCAAGCACGGCCTCTAGAGACATTGTTTCCCTAAAGGTCTTACTCAAGGCAGGTGAGCCACATGGCGCTCAGCCACGGAGGTGGGGGTGGGGTCGGGGGTTGGGGGACAGAGGTCAGTGACTGTCCGAGAGCCAGTCTCCACCACGGCTGTGGCAAGGGGACTCGGCTTCTCATTTCCACTCCCTTCAAGAGACTAACTACGACCGAGCACCTGCAACACGGCCGGGGACCTCGGAAAAGAGGCCTGCGCCCAATTCCGAGGTGTAGTGAGGAAGACTGAGGCCTGAGTTAGAGCACGTCATGAAAACACAAAAGTACGTTGTTCCTACACTCGGAAAAGCTTTAAATTTAAGTTACACCCTTGAGCCCAGTGAGTTCCCTGCTGGGAATGTTCGCCACATAAAGAAGCAAGGTCCTAGCAGGTTACAGCACAACAGAAACGATCCCGTGTAGTCCGGAGTGTCTGCTTCCCGAGTCTGAACTGGCCCAGGAAATGCACACAGAAAATGCCTGGACCCTCCCCCACTGGCTGAGGAAATGCTGACCCGGTCGGACGCAACCAGTGGGGGAGGGTTCTGAGACGGACTTAAAACCTTCTGTCTCAACTGATGGCAAAGCCAACATTACTGTCACCTAATTTTGTTTTAATGTAAAGAGGAAGAGTTGCTAGTTGATGCATCTTGCTATAGAGACAGAAGGGGATGCGCACTAGGAAAAAGAGAACAGAACAAGATTATTTGAGGTACCTTGCAGCTCTGAGTCTGTAAAAATATACTCACGAGGGACAGAAAGTTTACACCTCGCTGCAATCACACAGATCATCTCCCACACCCTTTCTGTGATATAACACACTGCTACCGTTCTAACAGCAGGTGCCCCATCGGGACACGTACGAGAATCGACCAATGGACCCATGAACAAGTGGAACAGCAATCGATATCTTCTCTCCCTCTCCCCAACCCCTTCCTCCCTCTCTCTGAAAGCGATACATAAAAAAATTAAATAAATAGCCCTGGCTGGTGTGGCTCAGAGGATTGAGTGCCGGCCTGTGAACTAACTGGTAAGCTGCGGGTTTGATTCCTGGTCAGAGCACATGCCAGGGTTGCGGGCCAGGTCCTTGGTTGGGGGATGTGAGCAAGGCAACCGATCTGTGTTTCTCTCCCTCCCCTCTCCCTCCTTTCCTTACTCTCTAAAAATAAATAAACAAAATACTTAATATTAGTTAAAATAAGAATCAACCAATGAATGCATCACTAAGTGGAACGAGAAACTGATATTTTTCTTTCTCTCAAAAAAATCAATAAAAAATCTTTTAAAAAGAAAGAAAAATGTTGTCACAAAAAGCACAAGAATCAGGACACTGTGCTAGATTAAAGGAGACCAAAGAGACAGGACAACAAAATGCAGTTTGATTGGACTCTGGAAAAAAAATAAAATACGGACCACGCATTGTATCGACAGGCCAATCGACAGGCCAGGTGTGCCTTGCCTCTGCACGACAGTGTCCTTGTTCTTAGCAGACACTTGCTGAATTCTGAGCGGGGAAAGGTCAGGATGTCTACAACGAACTCTCAAAAGGTTCCGCAAAACTAAGTGCATGATTTGGAGAGAAAATACGGGAGCACAGTGGGGCATGTAGGTGAAGGGTTTATAAACATTCAAGGAACTCTTCCCGCAACTCTTCTGTAGATTCGAAAAGTTTCAAAACAAGTAGTTAAAAAGTTCAAAAGGAATATGGTAAAAAACTGTGTGTATATAAGTTCACATTATAAGCAAAAGTGCACAGTCTGTATTCTAGCTGTGGGTGCGTTAATGAAGAAGGTGAACATGTAAACACTATCCGACAAGAGAAAATAAGGACGCTTGTAAAGCGTGAATGAAACCAATTATTTTTAATGTCCTTGTCACACCATTTACCCCACATACCAACTGACCATCAGGATACGGAGCAAACTGAGCATTACAACCACACTGACATCGTTGAATCTTTTCACGGCAAAGGACATCGGAATTTTATTGGCACCTCCGGCTCGCAGGCTCTGACAGCCCAGGGAGGCTCCGAGTCGAGAGACGCCGAGGGCGACGAGGCCCAGACCCACCTATTCGGCCCGCCCGGGCCCTGGCCGGCCCAGCTCCCGCCACTCACACTCGCGTCCCCTCCCCTCCCCTCCCCGGCCCCGCTCACTTTGCATCCTCGACGCGGAAGCCGGCGACGACCCCTTGCCGACCCTGGACGAAGAATGGGGCAGAAAGGGGGGCCCCTGGCTTCCACTCCTCCGAGACAGGGCCGGGTACAAGGACCTCCGCGGTGATCCCTGGTCGGAGAGCAGGGATCGGGCCGCCGGATCCAAACGGATCTGGCCGCCGGTTGTAGCCCTGTTACCCTGGCAACCCCCGAGCCCCGCGCATCCAGCGGCGCCTCCAGCACGTGTGCTAAAGGGTCGGCCAGCTCACTGGGCTTCGTTGCTAAGCAACCTCCCCAGCCGCTTTAAAGCTTTTCAGCGATGGCGGACGCTGGCCAGGATCGCTTTGCACCGCGCTCCTGAGAATTTACCGGTTTGCGACCTAAGTCGCAAACAGCCTTGAACCTTGAGCCTTGACGGACCACAGCCTTGAGCTTTAACTGGGTTCGGGGCGCACTGAATAATTGTCGACTGCAGTCACATCAACCAGGCGTCTATTAACTAGTCCAGGGCGCAGCGGTCCGTTTGTAAGTTTTTCTTTTTAACTCAACAAACGTTGAGCTGCAGGCCCGCTGCAGGCATTGGGGGTATAAAGGAGGGCAGTGTGGACAAGGTCGCTGACTTCTTGAGACTGACATTCTACTGTAAAGTTGAAGAAATTACTGTGAGAATGAACGATTCAAGCAAATGTGAGGACAGAGCAGACAGTGACTCAGCCCTCAGGGAACCGACAACGCAATAAAAGCCGTAATAATAAGCATCTCTGTATCGGCCCAGCATTTTAGGAAGCTCCTTGTCTTTTCTGTGCTCATTTCATCCCTACTGCTCCGCGAGATCAGAGGTAGCCCCGATTCCACCTCCGTGGTATCCCTGGTTTTTTTTCCTATTAACTTTTGAAATTAAAGGAGTAAAATGTGTCTGTTGTACAAAAATCAAAATGCAAACGTATATAAACTTCGAAATCATCCCTTCAAAGCACTTCATCCTTCTCATGGCCCGTCCTCCCCAGAGTTAATTAACCTCGGACAGCACAGGGGTGGCATCTCTTCAGAATTTCTGTGGATGACTTTGGACTGATTTTCCCCATAATGGAAAATTACAGATATTCTTCTATAATTTGCTTCTTTCAATTAATAAATCCTAGTTATCTTTTTAAAAGATTTTTAGATGGGGAAGGGAGGGAGAAAGGGAGAGAAACATCAGTGTGCGGTTGTCTCTCATCAACATTGCCCCCCAACAGGGACCTGGTCTTGGCTGGCAACCAAAACATGTGCCCTGACTGGGAATTGAACCAGCAGCCCTTTAGTTTGCAGGCCAGCACTCCACCCACTGAGCACACCAGCTGGGGGTAAATCCCAGTCTTCTTCTTCTTTTTTTAATCTTTTGATGGACTTCATTTTTTAAAAATAAAGATTTTATTTATTTATTTTAGAGAGATGGGGAAGGGAGAAAGAGAGGGAGTGAAACATCACTGTGTGGTTGCCTCTAGCACACCCCATACTGGGAATATGGCCTGCAACCCAGGCATGTGCCCTGACCTGGAGTCAAACTGGTGTTGCTTTGGTTCACAGGCCCGCGCTCAATCCACTGAGCTACACCAGCCAGGGCCCAGTCTTCTTCAATATGACACATATGGAGCTACCCTATGCTTTTTTAAGTGCTTCATAATATTCCATAGTATTCATATACTCTCCATTTTTAGTCACTCCCCTATTAATGTTTGATTCCTGTTTTTGTTATTACAAATGACACTTCAGAAAAGATCTGCGTGTAGATCTTAGACCACATGTGTAACTGTTTCTGTAGGAAATAATACGTTGAAAGGCATCTACTGTAAATATGGAGTGATATTAAATCACTCTCCCAAAACGCTGTATCAATACACACAGATCTATATATGAATTCTCTTCTCCCCTCATTGCTCAGATGCTAAATATTACCCAGTAAGGTTGAGAAGCTGTTCTGGAATAGGTCGGAACATGAAATTTCATTTCATCACAGTTTCTAGCTCTCGCTTGTCCTCCTTCCAGACCACGATTCATCTCTCAGTGGAA